TTGTTTAGGGTACAAGAAAGGTTGCCTGGCCTCCATCCCCAGATGTCTCTGGTGTTTTTTCCCCTCTGATGTGTCCATCCCCAGCTCAAACGACTTCTATTTCAGTACGTTCAGATCCCCATTTTTTCGGAGCAAGCCGGTGTGTCAAATGATCATTTTTTTCCCTCCGAAGGTAATTTTACTCCAAGTGTACTTCTCTGCACTTGCTCCGTGACTGCACGGTGAGGCCTCCTCACCCACGGGCCACCCGAGAGACGGCAGCAAGCACAGACACGAGCATACGCTGCGTGCACACACACGAGACCATGGACAACCTCCTACCCCTAACGTTGCAGGGTACGTGTCTGGTAGCGACGAAGCTTGCTCCCAAGACTGAGGTCCTCAGACGGCCTGTATGACCCTTCATGCGCCTGCCGGCGTACCCCTACCGTGCGTGTGTGTGGATGTGCTGTGTGTCGCTCTGCCGCTCTGTGCCAACAGAGGTGCTATACAACTCCCTGCGTGGTGGTTCGGGGATTTTTCTTAACTGTCCCCGTATCGAGTAGACCGGATTACTGGCTGGACTACTGGGCCTCGGTGATCCCTTTTTTGATCAAAAAAAAGTGGGCGAAGCCTCAGAAGGGTTAACCTCTGCCTCGTAGGGGCCACGTGCGCCCGGCGAAAAGTCGGCGTTCCCGGCAAGCTCCGCTAGACCCCTGCCGGACACAAACGACAACGCGCAAGCGAGTTCAAAGTAATTCGGGCGTGCGTATCTGATGATGGACTCCATGGTGCCGATGAGATCGCTCGCGTGCACCGCTAATCCACGTCTGCACTTGACCTACAAGGATTCCTGGCGTTTTATTCTCGGTATGCTTTTCTCCTCCGGCGCGACCTTTAACCGGGAGACGTAGGGCGGTAGCAAGCGCACCTTCCTAAGGAGGTCGTCAATATCGGCGAGTACAGTGAAAGACACCTTCCGCGAGTGTATCGCGCGCCGGGCCGACCACTTTCGGGGAAGGTCCAATTTCCCGAATGACACATCGCGATCCCAGGCCGTCTGTAGCTGTTTCAGGTATCCCTTCCGCATCTTCGACTTCTTTGCCGTGGATGACTTCTTCTTGATAAGGACGAGCAATTGCCGGATTTCTATCTTGACGGGACCTGCGTTGTGCCCGGCGCCGAAATTTTGTATCCACACTTCCCGAACCCTTGCGACGTTCTTGTTTAAAGAGCCAGGGTGGAGCTTTCTCAGCACCCCTAGAAGCTCGAGCGGATTCTCGTGTTCCTCCAACCATTTGGCGCACATTGAGATCTTTTTGTCCAATTTGAACATTACTAACAACGACACACATAATATCCTGCATTTTTCCTACAATTGGGCTACCTCTCATCCTTCCCACTACTCTCTACTTTCTTCTTTTTTGTGCGCCCTCTCCCCAGGCTACCACGAGCGCGATTGCACCTTAGGCACTTCGCGTCCACATTTTCCGCGGTGTGGGGCAGCGAGCAGTCGAGGCGATCGAGCGTTGGCTGCCGTTCACTGTAAACAGCCCAGACAAGCTCGCAGGTGCACAGGTTGCATCTACCTCCGTAAGAGTTCAGGAGTTCTTGAACAAGGGCTTCTCTGTGCCTTCCACCCTCTTCTGGTCCAAGACGCCCGGCCGTCACGTCGGCATAGATGAAGCTCGAGACTTTCCTAGAAACCCAGGATACCCTCTCTCGGTCGAAGATGTTGCTCTCTCGCTGCGGTGAATATCGTCGATGACCCTCACGTTCGAGGGCCCGGTCGCTCGACTGACAGCCGTGTACAGCCAGTGCACGTCGGCGTGAGGATGCCGGGCCTGATGTATGATCAACCTCCCTTCCACGGTACGGCCTTGGACCGCGTGTACTGTACATTACCCCGGGGGGTCAAACAAGTTTTCTGCCTCTGCTCGACAGAGTGACGTCTCCTCCAGACTGACGGCCCCGTCAAAAGCGCTTGCGACAACGACCTCATCTGCTAAGGATCGGATGATGTTGTAGGTGTGATTCTTGTGAACCTTGCCCAGGTTCCCGAGGTCCCGGTATTGAGCACCTACAACTGTTTGACGCCCCAGCCCATCCCAGCCACCAGCTTCGTCGCACCCCAGCAACCCTCGAAAGGCGTGGAATCGAGCACAGTCTCTAAGTGTAAGCGAGGTGAAAATGTGAAGGGCTGGGGTCGCTAGCCGTTGGGAAATCACCACCAAACCTCTCAATGGCTCGAGTTTGCGCCTCGTGACTGTCGTCTCCTGCAGCCAGAATGTACAAGAGGCCGTCGTCCATCTCCACCTGTTCTTCGACAGTTTTATCCCGCTTGCGCGCGAAGACGTGAAAGCATATGGGGAAGGCGTTTTCGAGGATGACCCTCCTGTCGACGTTGTCCTTGCTAATTGACATGCCGCTGCTATCGCACACGGGTTGGAGTTGGTGCGTGTCGTATGTCCCTATCACGTGGGTGCCGCTGCTATGGGCAGCAGCCAGGATCATTCTTAAGGTCCGGAGAGGCATGTACGCAGCTTCTTCGATGATGATTACGTCAACCTTAAGCGTTCGTATCGGCCCCGCCGTTTTCCTCACGTGAGAACCATTCCCCAGGTAGAAACCGAGCTGGTGGTCGGCGGTCTTTTCACTCCACCCGCATGGCATGTCTGTGAAGGACGTTCTCAGACTATTGGTGGGGGTTAAGACGAGCCCAGTTTTGAAGATGGCCGTTGCAGCACGGGTAGCGCAGTAACTCTTCCCCGCCCCCCTGTGTTCTCCCGTCACCGCACACACGAGCCTTGAACCTTGTCGGAGCATGTGGGCGCGGATTAAATTTTCTAGTTTTGATGGCGACTCGGCCTCGCATATCTCTGGCCACAGGTTGCGCTTGGCGTTCTTCTCGAGAGAACGCCAGGCGTCGTGAACATGTTCCATCGAACTGAAGCCGGACCGATGCCATCCCACAGAGGAATGACCCGCAGACAGTGTTTCGGTGGGCAAGGGATTCGCCTCATTGCTGGAGGTAACGCGTCTAGCGATATCTTGGCTTTGATGCCACCGAACACCCGCCTCTCATCATACAGCGGATCCTTCAAGGCTGGTTCGAACTTTAGTGCCGGGAGTTTTTGTTTCGCCGCCTTAAAACAAATCGCTGAAGCGAAGTCTCATCTTCCCTTGCACCGACGAAGATCCCCTGAAGAATACCGCGTCGCACTGGTAGCTAAAGCCAGACGCGCCGCAAGATTCGAGAGCATTCCTCGCCTCCAACACTCGCAATCGAGTTTCGTCAAGAATGAGCGCACCCAACGCCCAGAAACCATCTCTGTACCATGTTCGTTCCGCATCCAAACAAAGGTATGTATCACCGGTGCGAAGTGACTCGATCCCAAGCTTCTCCTGTCCCGTCCGAAGTTCAGCCTTCACGCGATCGACCTCGCCTAGGACAGGCACAATTTTGCCGCCCACAGCGAAAGCCTCGTCACAGCCCGTAGCCATGACAGCGTCTATCCTGTCTGCGTATCTCTGCTGCAACATGCCACTGGCCCGCACGAATATTCCTTTCTTGAACTTGCGGGCACAGTCTGCATCCTGTAGGAGGGGATCACCCAGCTCATGCGCGAGCAGGTCTTTCGCCAGGGTGGGTATGTGACACATGCTGACTATCCTCGACGGCCGCACGAAATGGGTAACTCTACGGCGAGCAGCGGTGTCGACGAGGTCGAGGTAACGCTCGTAGTTTCGACCGAAGACTGGTGTTACATCCGCGTTCAAGAATACGTCAGGTTTGCCGAGTGCATCCAGTTCTATTTTGTACAGGGTCCAATCCTCAATGTCGTGGTCATCGTACTCCTCCACCTCATCCACGTGGCCGAAAACGGGTACTACCTCCATGCTCATAAGGACCGCAGTGTGTGCCCCATTGATGTCACACTGCCAATCTTCCGGCCCGTAAAAAGTCCCCGACACTTCCTCGGCACCGGCGATTGGTCCCCGCCAGCATACCTCGAGAAGGGCGAGGAGGGACTGGCTATACTGGCTCGACACTCTTAAGTCTAATACGCCGTGGTTAAACTTCAGACCCAGCTCATTGTGCAGCTCGATCAATCTTGTCGCTTGGTCGGGCTCGAACTCATCAGGATCGAGTCCGCCCATGCTCGCGCTGCACCACGTTCGGATGGTTCTACCGTGTGCCGGCACCGACAGGGAGTCCCAGTGGCTGTAGCTGGAAAGCCTACCCCTGCAAGAGACTCCAACGAGGTGCAAGTGGAACATCAGCTCGTCGAGAGCCGTTCCCGGCGGCGCGTACCACATATTGAACAGCTGATATCCAACAAATGCTTTGATCCATGCTACGTCTCCGTGTTGGAAAAGCCCTTTCTTCTTCGTTCATGATAACATCTTACCATATTCTACGCAAATCTGTCACATCTACTCTCAAACAAGACGCCAACTTCAAACGAAAACGCGTTCTACGATGCGTCTACACTCCATCCCCATATCATTGGCGTTGACTGGTTGTGTGAGTGGGTATCGTTTGGAAGTCTGGAGATGACCAAAACTAAACTAAAGTTTTCGCCTTCTCCTGTCCTGTTGTTGCCTGGCCTGTTGCAACAGCTATGCGACGGTTCAAAACAACCAGTCTATTACATTACAGCACACACAACTGAACAGAGATTCTCTGATGGTGGTTGTTTCGCCACTCCCGCTACAACTACTACTGCACTGATGATATTGCTGGGTGTGTTGTTGTGTGTTTGTGTGTTCCTGTGGATGTTGGCATACTGCATCGTAACAACCGATACGTACCTACAACTGCTGTGGACCAGTCAGCAGTAACAGCGGAAGATACAACTGCTGCGGGTCAATCGCCCACAACAGCAGCAGTAGCAGTAACATCAACAACAGCAACAGCAGCTGCAGCGAAGGGGCAGAGGTAGGTATAGACTACTGCTGCTGCTGCTGCTGCTGCTGTAGCGCTGGCCACCTTCTAATTCCTTTCTCTATCACCTGTCTGTGTGGTCACCAATCAATAAATCAATCAATAAGTGCGGAGAATGACTTGAGTGACTGAGGCGAATGGGCGGGCGATTCCCTAGAGGAGAGAGTATCCCTAGGAGCATCATCGACTCAATCGTCATCGAATAGTCAGTCATCCACGGCAAATTTGAAAATTTGAAAATTGTGAATCTCAGAGATAACATGCGGCTTCGTCGTCGTGAAAGACGTCATCGGACGAACAGGGATTTTTTCCCCTTTCTTTGGAACGGTTCTTAAAAAATTGACCAATCAATTAATTGCGGGCCACTTTGCCCTCTCTCTCAACTTCAAACGAAAACGCGTTCTACGATGCGTCTACACTCCATCCCCATATCATTGGCGTTGACTGGTTGTGTGAGTGGGTATCGTTTGGAAGTCTGGAGATGACCAAAACTAAACTAAAGTTTTCGCCTTCTCCTGTCCTGTTGTTGCCTGGCCTGTTGCAACAGCTATGCGACGGTTCAAAACAACCAGTCTATTACATTACAGCACACACAACTGAACAGAGATTCTCTGATGGTGGTTGTTTCGCCACTCCCGCTACAACTACTACTGCACTGATGATATTGCTGGGTGTGTTGTTGTGTGTTTGTGTGTTCCTGTGGATGTTGGCATACTGCATCGTAACAACCGATACGTACCTACAACTGCTGTGGACCAGTCAGCAGTAACAGCGGAAGATACAACTGCTGCGGGTCAATCGCCCACAACAGCAGCAGTAGCAGTAACATCAACAACAGCAACAGCAGCTGCAGCGAAGGGGCAGAGGTAGGTATAGACTACTGCTGCTGCTGCTGCTGCTGCTGTAGCGCTGGCCACCTTCTAATTCCTTTCTCTATCACCTGTCTGTGTGGTCACCAATCAATAAATCAATCAATAAGTGCGGAGAATGACTTGAGTGACTGAGGCGAATGGGCGGGCGATTCCCTAGAGGAGAGAGTATCCCTAGGAGCATCATCGACTCAATCGTCATCGAATAGTCAGTCATCCACGGCAAATTTGAAAATTTTGGAGAGAGTATCCCTAGGAGCATCATCGACTCAATCGTCATCGAATAGTCAGTCATCCACGGCAAATTTGAAAATTTGAAAATTGTGAATCTCAGAGATAACATGCGGCTTCGTCGTCGTGAAAGACGTCATCGGACGAACAGGGATTTTTTCCCCTTTCTTTGGAACGGTTCTTAAAAAATTGACCAATCAATTAATTGCGGGCCACTTTGCCCTCTCTCTCTAGTTTCGTGCTTCACGAAGCAAACCTTATTCTCGTTTGCCTCTGTTTCGAAAAATGTACCACGATAAAACGCGTTGCAGCTGTGTTGGTCTACAGCACAGTGCTCGCGTCGGATGTAGCCGGCGACCCTGCCGGGCAGGTTCTCGTTCGCACGCATGGCATCATGTGCAGCACGCATGCATGCAAGGATGACAGTTCTCATGTGCTCGTTGGACGTAGGAACATCACGGGTCCACTCATACAGACAAAAGTAATCCAACCTATCTTGTCAGGACCTCTCGGCCACGAGATATACCAACGCCTACAGTGCAGGACCCCTGGCCTGCAGGGAAGGGCATCGAACGAGGATTTCGCAAAGGGTTTCTCCTTCCTGTGGAGACTGCAGCACAGCCTGTAGCCTGCGGCACAATCAAACCAGCACAACCCCGGGAGGGGGGTGAGGGAGAAGCTCGCAGACAAGCTTGCCCATGGCGGTGGTTCGGCCGAGACGGCGGACGCAGCTGCAACAGAGTGCAAGGAGAGTCGAAACAGCAGCAGAAACTGATGATGATACGCAGCAAGCATCGCAGCAACAGAGCAGAAAACGATGCCGCGGGACACGCGTCTCTTTCCAACTGCCGGAACAAACTGATTTGGGCCGCACCTTCCTGCTTGTTACCGTCCAAAGCCACTTCAACACCAAAACCGTACACCTATCGCAACAACGTGAACTACCCCCTTCCCCAAACAGAAGTTCAGAGCCACGGCGAGCGCCTCTAACTCAGCGGGAAGAACCAAGAAAATATATTCGATATGTATCGTCCATAAAATTAAGGGTGTAAGGAACACCACACATTGCAAGGATCAGGCCATCCCGGAAAGCAGGGATATTCCACAAGGAGGGTGATACTACAAAAGTGAACATCTGAAGTAAACGCTGTGCCAATTCAAATACATACAAAGCCTTGAAACGGCCTTTGGCTGGTTTTGCAAGCATTCTGCATTTTTCCTTGTCCACAAAAAAAATGTGGCATTAATTAATTAAACGCCAGACTCGACACGTATAATGCATACCCAAGCTAGGGTCTCGTTTCTGTTTGCATAAAAATTTCAAGGCGTCCATAAATGGATCGTGTCAACAACACCAGCAACAATTATCGAGCCTCGGTACCAACACTATCAGCAGGCTATTATACTCATCAGATATAATAGTCTTTCAAGACAAACGGTTAGCTGTAGGTACTGATCTTGGATCTTCCAAAGAGAGGTAAGATCTGCCGATCGACGTTGACGACGAACAACAACGACAAAAGTTGAGCTCGTTGTTGATTTCGACCAAGACGCCGTGTCCCCGACCCCCTTAGAGCAAGGAGGCGTTGTCCCTCAGGTTAGGCAGTGGGGTTGGGGTGGCACATGCTTCCCGGTGGGCAGGGGTTGAGGAAGAGGTAGTCGTCGGTCACGGCTCCCTTCTCGTTGTACTGGAAAAAACAAAGAAAAGGGACGGGGTCGGGGGAACGAGAGAACATAACAAAAAGAGGGAAATTATATGAAGTAATTGGCAGCACACAAAGCTCACGAACACGCAGGACATACCTCTGGTGTGTAGCAAATTCCATGTACAACATGCTACTATAGCGGCTGATTGCTTTGCCGAGCATAGGAATAAAGTCAAGATGTGTGAAGGTTGAGGGGAGAGGGGATCGGATAGGAAGCCGCGACTGCCGCAGCAGCCAGAAGAGAAGGACCTGCAATAACACTTCGATATTAACAACAGTTAGTGATTAAGAGCATAGAGAAGGAACTGCAACAACAGTTCGTTGTTAAGAGACATGTAGGACTTGAATTGTGCGCAAACGCCTGGACATAGATGCACAGCGGTCGAGCCGAGGAAAACCCATACACCGATATAATATGCATAGTTCACCCCACAACGGCGTGCGCGGTGGTATTTCACGGTGCTGCGTCTTGCATGCCAGTCCTTCTCAAAACGGAAAACTACAGGAGGAAAAAATCAAGCGAGCCCGTGTTCATGCACTACAGAGAACGCCTGCACTTGAGAACCTGGCCGCTACGACATAGCCTAAACAAACTCAAAATATAACAACTTGAGCACCATTTGTGAGCTCGGTTAACAACCTGTATACTCAACCCTATATATATTGCAGCCATTCGTGGCATGACCCCAACCACTCCAGCATCGGCCAAAAATAGAGGTTCTTCACCCTCCTACAGCAGTACCCAGTTAGTAACAGGTCATGGAAAAAAAGGTGTCCGCTCATTGGGAGAGGCTGTATAGCAGTCCCGACGGCCGAAGGCCCACCTGGCTTCGCGTAGGAATTGTCCCCAAGTGCACCGGCGACACTGTCTACAAGTATACTGAAGCGAAGCTAGCAAATTTTTCCAGTTCTAGCCTACAGTACAGTTTACCAAATGGGGACCCGCGGCTTGGGAGATTATTGTGTGCAGCAAGTCAGAGACCCAGAAGGGGCACACAGGGGTCACACAGCAGTACATCACACAGCTTACCACATCACACACGCATGCTAGACCAAGATTTCCCACGCAACTTTCACGCAGCGGAGCATAGTACAGTACATCGTGACGACCACGGTGCGGTAAAACAGGCGTTTGAGTGCTCTGTCCCTAAAGTGTCCCTATTTGGGCTTCCAGTACTGGTCGGGCAAAGCAGGCACGGGCGCGTTCCGTGCTTGTTTTCCCCATCAATCATGTCAAGACCTCGAGACTGACCTTGACTCCTCCGCTGACCCATACCGTCCTGCGGTCGCAAGGGCAGAAGTACGAACACGGGAGGCCTCCCACGAGGGTGATGAGCCAAGTGGTCAGCCCGCAGTAGCGCTCTTCTACCCACATCCCCACGGTGGGCGCTCCAGGCGGGGCGACGAGGGGCTGCAGTGTTTTTTTTAGCAAGAAGGAAGGCACACAAAGTGCGTCGTACGCGGTGGAAGTTCGTTGTTGCTGAGTAAATATCGTCGTCCGTGTTCGCGCGGAGGTACTGCAGTATATGCATACATCAGATCACAACTCGGGCACGTTTTCACACTCGGCACAACCAGCATACAAGTAAACAGGACAATCCACCGTGTTTCATGTGGACAGAACAAACACGCTTACGACAAACACGCCGCACGCCACCGACTTCTCTCATTCGCTCTCTCTCTCTTTCTCTGTCTGTCTGTCTGTCTGTCTGTCTGTCTGTCTGTCTGTCTGTCTGTCTGTCTGTCTGTCTGTCTGTCTGTCTGTCTGTCT